CGACGGCCGCCGCTGGTCCCTCTTCACCTGGCTCGCTCGCTGCGGTCTCTCTCTCTTTCTCTCTCTGTCTGTCTCTCTCTGTCTCTTTCTCAGTCATTGTCTCTGTCTCTCTTTCTCTCTCTCTCTCTCTCTCTCTCTCTTTCTCTCTCTCTCTCTCCTCCTCTCCCTCCCTCCCTCCCTCCCTCCCTCCCTCCTCCTCCTCCTCCTCCTCCTCCTCCTCCTCCTTCCTCCTACTTCTCCTACTTCTATACTATTCCTACTCCTCCTCTACCTCCTCTTCCACCTCTTCCTCTTTCTCCTCTTCCCCTTCCGCCCCTCTCTCTTCCTCTCTTCGTCTCTCCATCTCTCTTCCCCTCCCCCTTTTGGTGTACCTTTCCCTCTGACGGTCTCACCCTCTCTCTGATGGCCTCTGTTGGTTTGTCTATCTATTACAATCTCTCTCTCGCGCCTTGCTCCCTCCCTCTTTCATTCTCTCCCTCCCTCTCTCATTCCCTCCCTCCCTTCCTCTCCATCTCTCTGCTCTCATTCCCTACCCCCTACCCTCCCGCCTCATTCCCTCCCCCTCCCTCCCTCTCTCATTCCCGTACCCCTCCTCCCCTCCCTCATTCCCTCCCCCCTACTCCCTCCCTCTTCCCTCCCCCTCCCTCCCTCTCTCATTCCCTACTCCCTCCCTTCCTCCCTACCTCTCTCATACCCTCCCCCTTCTCTCATTCCCTCCCCCTCCCTCCCTCCCCTCCCTCTCGATGTCCCTTTGCGTCGGATACCTAGCGATGTCGAGGAGCATGAGTGGAGGGAACAGAGGGGAGGGAAGTGGAGTGAAGTGTAGGGGCGGGTCAAGTGCTTACCAATGGGTGAGCTGTGGAGGGAAGGAGGGAGGGAGGGAGGGAGGGAGAGAGGGAGAGGGAGGGAGAGAGTAGAGAGGGAGGGAGGGAGGGAGAGAGGTAGAGAGGGAGGGAGGGAGGGAGGGGAGGGAGGGAGGGAGAGAGGGGAGGGAGGGAGGGTCGGAGGAAGGGAGAGAGAGAGAGAGAGAGATGGAGGGATGGAGGGAAGGAGAGAATGGGAGACAAGGAATAAGACAAGAAAGAAAAACATGGCTGAGGAACAGTTACGAGGAAAAGCGAGAGGGAGAGTGCAAAGGATAGGTTAAGAGACCGTTGTTACGTGGAGGAGGCGGGCGAGTGGGGGGGAGGGGGGTATGGGAGGGAGAGGGAGTGGGTGTGCGGGAGGGGGGAGTAGGTGGGATGGGGGGTATATGGGAGGGAGGGAGGGTAGGTGGGTGTGAGGGAGACGGGGAGGGGGAGGGGGAGATGGGGTGAGTGGAGAGGGGCATGTGAGAACGATCTCCCCCCCTCCCCCCCCAACCCACCCATCCCTACGCCGCCGCTCATTCACATCCTCCTCCTCCTCCTCTTCCTCTTCCTCTCCCTTCCTCCCTCCTCCTCCTTCCCTCTTCCTCCCTCCTCCTCCTCTTCCTCTTCCTCCCTCCTCTTCCTCCCCTCCTCCTCCTCCTCCTCCTCCCTCCTCCTACTCCTCCTCCTCTTCCTCCCTCCTCCTCCTCCTTCCTCCTCCTCCTCCTCCTCTTCCTCCTCCTCCTCCTACTCCTCCTCCTCTTCCTTCTCCCTTTCCTCCTCCTTCCTCCTCCTCTCCTCCTCCTCCTCCTCCTCCTCTTCCTCCTCCTCCTACTCCTCCTCCTTTCTTCTCCCTTCCTCCTCCTTCCTCCTCCTCCTCCTCTTCCTCTACCTCTCCTACTCCTCCTCCTCTTCCTTCTCCCTTTCCTCCTCCTCCTCCTCCTCCTCCTCCTTCCTCTACCTCTCCCTTTCCTCCTCCTCCTCCCTCTCCTTCTCCTCCTCCTCCTCCTCCTCCTCCTCCTCCTCCTCCTCCTCCCTCGCATCCTCCTCCTCCCTCTCCTCCTCCTCCTCCCTCTCCTCCTACTCCTCCCTCTCCTCCTCCTTCTTCTCCTCCACCTCCACCTCCCTCCTCCTCCTCCTCCTCCTGGAGAGAAGTGAGGGAGTGAAGGAGAGAGCGTGAGAGAGGCAGAGGGAGGAGAAGAGGAAGAAGAAAGAAATGAAGAGAGAAAGGAAAGACAGGAAGAGACAGAGGAAGGTAGAGAGAGGTGAGGGAGAAAAGGAGAGGAGATGAAAGTGAAAGTGAGAGAGAGAGAGAGAGAGAGAGAGAGAGAGAGAGAGAGAGAGAGAGAGAGAAAGAGAAAGAGAAAGAGAAAGAGAAAGAAAGAGAGACGAAGAGACAGCGAATAAGAGATAGAGAACGAGACAAAGATAAGGAGGAGAAGAGACGAGAAATAGAGAGAGAGAAAGAGAGGACGGAGAAGAAGAGAAAAGAGAGAAGAGAGAGAGAGAGAGAGAGGAGGAGAGAGAGAGAAGGAGAGGAGAGAGGAGACGAGAGAGAAGAGGAGCAGAGAGAGACGGAGAGATGGGCGAAAGGTTGCACATGCAAGGATTCGCGATGAAGCGTCCAGCAAAAACATTCCAATTTGAACGGGTTTAATTGGCAACACCGACGAACTAGCATCCGAGTTTGCAAGGTTGTTTATTCCCGCCATCATTTTATTTCTTCTCTATTCTCCCTTTTTTCTGATTATTTCGTACATTAACCGATTGTTGTTGTCTAGTTATAATTGGGGTAAATCCTTACGTTTTTGTATCAGAATTGAGATGAATAGATTAAGCCTGTAAGAATACAGAGCAACAGAAGACAATATGTTGCTGTTTCTGTTTCTCTCTCTCTCTCTCTCTCTCTCTCTCTCTCTCTCTCTCTCTCTCTCTCGCTCTCTCTCTCTCTCTCTCTACTCTCTCTTTCCTTTCCCTCCCTTCCTCCTCCCCCCCTCCGCCTCTCCCTTCTCCCCTTCTCCATTCACCAGTTTATCCCCTCGTTTGCCTTTCCCTTCCCTCCCCGCCTTCCATTCATCCCTTTCGCTCCACCTCCCATACTCTCCCCTCATCCCCTCTCCCTCCGACCCTACTTTCCCCTCTAGTTCCTTCTCCCCTCCTTCACTCCGCCTTCCTTGCTTCACCGCCTTCCCCTCATCCCCGTTCCTCTCCTTCCCATACCCCCTCATCCCCTCTCCCTCCTACCCTCCCTTCCACTCTCCCTTCCTTCCCCTCCTTCCCACCCCCTCTTCCCCTCCTTCTTGCTTCCCCTCTCCCCTCATCCCTCCGCTACCTTCCCATTCCCCCCCCTCATCCCCTCTCCCTCCTACCCTCCTTCCCCTTCCCTTCCTTCCTCCTTCCTTCCCCTCTCCCTTCCTTCCCCTCCTTACTTCCCCTCTTCCCTGCCTTCCCTCCTTCCTCCCCTCTCGTTCCTTCCTTCCCCTCCTATCCCTCATCCCCCCTCCCATACCTCCCCCTCATCCCCTCACCCTTCCTTCCCCTCCTTCCCTTTATCCCTTCCTTCCCCTCCTACCCCTCATCCTTCCTTCCCCTCTCTTTCCCCTCTCTCATGCCTTCTCTTCCACTCCATCTGGCTTTGCGTAGGAACGGCCGCGGCGTGCATGGGAGAAGGGCGGGCGATGCATCACCGAGCTACTGATATGGCGTGGAGGGGGGGAGGGGGTAGATAGAGAGAGGGAGAGAGAGAGGGAGAGAGAGAGGGAGAGAGGGAGGGAGAGAGAGAGAGAGAGGAGGGAGGGGAGGGAGAGAGGGAGGGAGGGGGAGGGAGGGAGTAGAGGAGGGGAAGAGAGAGAGAGGGGGGGGGGGGGGAGAGAGGGAGAGAGAGTGAGTGAGAGAGAGAGGGAGTGAGAGAGAAAGAGTGAGAGAGAGAGGAGAAGTGGAGAGAGAGAGAGAGAGAGTGAGAGAGAGAGAGAGAGTTGAGAGAGAGAGAGAGAGAGAGAGAAGAGAGAGAGAGAGGAGAGATATAGAGAGAGAGAGAGGAAGGAGAGGAGACGAGAGATAGGATATTGAATGGAAGGGACGAGTAAGAGGGGGGGGGGGGGGCCTATAGTACCCCTAATCATGTTGGGAGCTAGGGTTCTGGAAGGGGGCAGAGTGAGTTGGTGGTTGTTGGGGCTGTGGGTTGGGAATTGGTGGGGGGTTTTATGTATTGGGGTAGGGTAGGTGTAAAGTGTGAGGGGTGGAAAGGGATGGTGGGTATGGGTGGTTGAGCTTAGGAGGGATGTTGTGTTGCCGTCAGATGGAGAGGGATTGATGAGATGGAGAAGGAGAAAAATGCATTGTGAATTACATGAAAGAATAGCGCGCACGGGAGGAACTGGATAGAAGAAACTACAGATCCTGGAATGCCAAAGAAAACGAAGGTGAAAATATAAACGAAAGCGGTAAAGAAGGAGATCGGAGCGGGGCGTGGAAAGCGCGTCACGAAGCGGGAACCAAAAAAGGGAGAAAGAACGGTTTTGTCCAAGTCGAAAGGGAAAGCAGGAGGAAGGGGAGAGGAGAGGGATAGATTCAGCAGAGGAAGGGGAGAGGGGGCTATGAGCGTAGGGGAAAGTGGGGGTTGAGGGGGGAGAAGAGGTCAGGCAGAGGAAGGGGAGAGGGCGAGAGCGAGAGGGGAAAGGGGGGGAGGGGGGAGAGAGTCAAGGAGGCAGAGGAGGGGAGAGGGCGAGAGAGAGAGATGAAAGGGGGGGAAGAAGGGGGGAGAGAGTCAGGCAGGAGTGGAAAGGGTAGAGGCGAGGAGTAAGAGGTGAAAGGAGGGAGGGTGGGAGGGGGGAGAGAGGTCCCGACAGAGGAAGGGGAGAAGTTCGAGAGAGAGAGGGTAAAGGGGGGGAGAGGGGGGAGAGAGTCAGGGGCAGAGGAAGAAGGGGGAGAGGGCGCGAGAGAGAGGGGAAAAGGGGGGAGGGGGGCAGAGTCGGCAGGAAAGGGGAGAGGGCGAGAGAGGGAGTGAAAGGGGGGAAGGTGGGAGAGAGTCCAGGCAATAGGAAGGGGAGAGGGCGAGAGATAGAGGGGAAAGGGGGGGAGGGGGGAGAGAGTCCAAGCAGAAAAAAGAAGAGAGCAAGCAAGAGCAAAGGGGGCCTGAAGAAGGAGGACAGCATGAGAGAGGAGTCAAGTCAGGGCAAGGGCAGTCCAAAGAGCAAGTCATATCAAGAGAGTCAGGTCAGAGAAAGAGAGTCACAGACGGAGCAGAAGAGCAGGGAGAAGAGAGGAGCAGCAGAAGCAGGCATCAGAGACACAGCAGAGATCAAGAAGAGGAAAGGGAGAAGACGAGCAGAGAGAGAGAGCAGCAAGTGGAGAGACAGAGAGGGCAGGAAAGAGGAGTAAGAGAAGGGAGCGGGGTCAGAAAAGGAGAGGATCAAGTAGGTCAGAGAGAAGTCAGGAGAAGAGGTCAGGAGGTCAGCACAGGAGCAGAGGCAGGAGGCAGCAAGGGGGGCAGTCAGGGGAGTCAGAAGGAGAGAGAGAAGCAGGGAGAGAGAGGAGAGAAGCAGAGAGAGCAGGACAGAAGAGCAGAGAGGAAAGAAGGAGACAAGGAAGAGAGGAGAGAAAGCAGACAAGAGGAGGAGAGGAGGAAGAGAGAGAGCGAAAAGCAGTCAAGCCGTAGAAGGAGAGAGGAAGGTGCAGAGAAGAGGTCAGAGAAGAGAAGGGTCAGCCGAGACAGAGAGATGCAGAGTCAGCAACGGTGATTGGAGCAGCACAGAAATCAACAGAAGGGATCAAGAAGAGAGGGAGTCAAAGAGAGATGAAGAAAGAGACAGAGAGATCAGGAAAGAGCTTTGAGAGTATTAGGATATACATAAAGGATAGATAACGCGCTCCATAGATGATTCAAATAGATCGAAAACATGCCTCTAGATTAGAGGGAGGAATTCCAAGAAGCGCATGAGGAAGAGAGAGGGGCAGCAGCAGAGGGAGGAGGACAGTCAGAGAACAGAGAGAGGTCAGCCATAGCCCAAAGAAGATCACAGAAGGAAAGTCAGGGAGAGCAGTCAGCAGGGGAGAGAAGGAAGTCAGGTCAGGCAGACAGAAGGGATGGAGAGAGCAGAGAGGTCAAGGAGGAGTCAAGAGCAAAAGCAGACAGCAAGCAGAGACAGAGAGAGTCAGAGCCCCAGAGCCAGTCAGGGCAGAGGGATCAGAGGGGCAGGGCAGGTCAAGAGGGGAGGAGAGGGCAGCAGAGCAGCAGAAGAGAGCAGAGAAGGGAGGGCAACAGAGCAGAGGTCAAGCATCATAGCAGAGAAGCAGTGGAACAGGGACAAGCGAGAGGAGATGGAGAGGTCAAGGGAGCAAGCAGACAGAGAGTCAAGGGCAAGGATCAGAGCAGAGGGCAGTGAGAGGAAAGAGGAGTCAAGTCAGAGAGGAGAAGGGAGTCAGCAGCAGAGGAGCAGGGAGAAAGGAGGGGGAGGAAGGGAAAGAAAGCAAAAAAAAACAAAGACAAGAAGCAGGCAAGCAGAGCCGGAAGTCAGCAGCAGCACGGAGAGATGGAGTTTCAGAGGAGAGAGGGGAGGAGACAGGAGCGAAGGAGCAGAGAGAGAGACAAGAGAGAGAGGGTCATAGCAACAGGACAGGAGGAGAGGGAGGCAGAGAGAGGCAGCAGTCAGGGAAGAGGAGAGCAGAGAGAAGTCAAGCAGCAGAAGAAAAGTCAGGAAGGAGGGAGAGAGAGGAGAGCAGGGGAGGGAGAAAGAGAAGAGAGGAGGTTCAGGCAGAGAAGGGAGGCAAAGAGGGAGAAAAGAGAGAGAGCAGAGAAGTCAGAAGAGAGAGAGTCAGGCAGCAGGGGTCGAGTCAGGACAGCAGAAGAAGAGCAGAGTCAGAGAGCAGCAGCAGAGAAAAAGTTTTCAGAGCAGAGTCAGGAGCAGGCAGCAAGAGTCAGAGCAATGAGGCAAAGAGAGGCCCCGGAGCAGAGGGGGGAAGAAGAGAAGCAGGCAGCAGGCAGAGCAGGAGATGGAGGGAGAAGGGGAAGCAGCAAGGAGAGGAAATGGAGAGGAGGCACAGAGAGGCAGAGCAGCGGGGGCAAGACAGGAGGGTAGGAAGGCAGAGGAGAGCAGAAGGAGAGAGAATCACAGCCAGAGAAGACAGAAGACGTCAGTCAGGCTCAGAGCAGGGGAGAGTCAGTCAAGGCAGGGAGATCAGGAGAGGGTCCAGAAGAGAGAAGCCAGCAGTCAAGAGAGAGCCCAGAGGCAGGAGCAGTCAGAGGGAGGGAAGTCCAGCAGCCGAGAAGGCAGAGGGGAGCAAGAGAGCAGAGAGCAGAGTCACAAGTCAGAGAGTCAAGAAGACAGGGGATCAGAGAAGGAGTCAGAGAGAGGTCAGATCAGAGAGAGGGAGAGGCAGGAGAGCAGAAGAAGAGAGAGGGTCAGCAGAGGCAGAAGAGAGGCAGTCAGGAGGACAGCAGAGCAGTCAGAAGGTCAAAAAAAAAAAAAAAAAAAAAAAGTCAGCAGGAGTCCGGAAGAGAGATCAGATAAGGAGAAGGGAGAAGGGCAGCAGGAAGAACTCAGCAGAGCAGAGCAAAGATCAAGGGTCAGGAGAGGAGGAGGGATTCAGGAGAGAGAGAAGAAGGAGAGCAGAGAAGGAAGAGAAGTCAGTTCAGGAAGAGAGCAGGCAGAAGAGAGACAGAGAGGCAAGCAGAGGCAAAGAAAGGAAGGCAGAGAGATCAGGATAAGTAGGGAGAGGTCAGCGGAGAGGAGAGAGCAGAGGAAGAGAGCCCACAGCAGAGAAGAGAGCCAGAGAGGTGGCGAAGAACAAAGGAGAGGAGAGACAGTCAGAGCAAGGGCGGGTCCGATCCGTCAGAGCCCAGGAGAAGCAGAGAGGCCAGCAGAAGGACAGAGAGAGACGAGAGAGCAAAGAAGAGAGAAAGGTGCATAGAATGAGCAGAGTCAGCAAAGGAGAAGCAGGAGAGCAGGAAGCAGTGAAAGAAGCAAGCAGGTAGGGCAGAAGGTCAGGTCAGAGAGGAGAAAGCAGAGAGAGGGCAGAGAGGGCAAGGGAGCACCCGCAGATAGGTCAAGAGAAGTCAGAGAGGAGCAGGAGATTCACAAGGAGAGGAAGGTCAGAGAAGAGGAGAGGACAGCAGAGAGCAAGAACAGCAGAAGTCAGCAAGGAGCGAGAGGAGTCAAAAGGAAAAGGCACGCAGAGAAAGAAGTCAAGGAACAGGAGAAAGACAGAAAGATCAGGAGAGCAGAGAAGAGCAGAAGAAAGAAGGAGGGAGTCAGAAATCAAGTGAGCCAGGAGGGAGGGAGGAGAGCAGATATCACAGGAAGAGCAAAGCAGAACAGAGGGAGCCAGAAAGAGAAGAGGGAGGAAAAGAGGAGCAGGAGACAGAGGGGAGAGAGCAGGGAGGGAGACAATGAGAGGTCAGAGAGGAGGGTTCAGGGAGGAAAGGGCAGAGCAGAAAAGCAAGAGAGGAGCAGTCAATCAGTCCAAGAGGAAAGGAAGAGAGAGGAGAGAGGAGCAGAAGGTCCGAGCAGGGAGAGCAGCTCAGGGCAGAGAAGAGAGGAGGAGAAGGAGCAGAGAAAGGTCAACAGAGGGCAGAGAGCAGAAGATGGAGAGAGGAGTCAAAGAGCAGCAGAGGAAGGAGAGAAGAGGCAGCAGCATGGAGTCAGGCCATGATGTCAAGGGCAGGCAGGCAAAGAAGAAAAGAGGGTCAGTCAGAGAGAGGAAGTCATCAGAGAAAGCATCAGCAGCAGAGCAGAGCAGGAGAGAGAGTCAGAGAGGAGAGAGGAGGAAGAGAGGAGAGCCGAGAGACAAGAGGCAAGAGAGAGCAGGAATAGAAGGCCAAGGACAGCAGGGCAAGAGAAGAGGGGAGAGAGGAGAGGAAGCAGAAGAAGGGTGAGAAACCAGCAAGCAGAGGAGAAGAGCAGCGCACAGAGATCAGTCAGCATATGCGACAAGGAAAGGTAGAAAGGCAGGAGCAGGAAGGTAGTCAAGGAGTCAGCAGCAATGAGAGGAGAGGGTCAGAAAGCAGCGAGTCAGGGAGCAGGAGAGCGAGAGAAGAGAGTCAGTCAGAGGGGGAGCAGGAGGGGAGTCAAGAGAAAGAAGGGAGAGACAAGTCAAGAGGCATGCAGGACAAACAGTCCAGAGAGAGAGCACGAAGCGGAGGGCGAGAGGAGCAGGGACAGCATAGGTGCACAGAGACAGTCAGAGGGAGCGAGAGAGAGAGAGAAGAAGAGGAAGGGGGAGTCAGGAAGCCGGCCGAGAGGGGGGGGCGACAGCAGCAGAGAGAGAGCAGAAGTCAAGAGAGGAGGTTCAGAGTCAAGAAGAGAGAGAGGAAGGAGAAGAGCAGGGTCAGCACAAGAGAGGAGAGGGGGAGGAGAGGGGGAGGCAAGCAGGGGAGCAAGAGTCAAGAGGAGAGAGAGAGAGTGGATAGGTCAAGGAGCACCAGAGTCAGTGAGGATCAAGAGGAAGAGAGACAGCAGGAGAAGTCAAGGCAGAGAGAGAAGAGGAGAGAGGGCACAGAGTCAGAGGATGAGCAGATAGAAGCAGCAGCAGGGGCAGGGAGAGAGAGCAGGTCAAGAGAGAGTCAAGAGCAGTCACAAGTCACAGGTAGGAGCAGAAGAGAAGCAAGAGGAAGAAGCAGAGCAGATCAGAAAGCAGGCAGAAGGTCAGAGAGGTCAAGAGGACAGGAAGAGGAGAAGGGAGACAGCAGAGAGAGAGCAGAGGAGATGGAGGAAAAGGGTCAGAGGTTCAGAGGCGGCCAGAGAGATTCAGTCAGGACAGAAGAGGGCGAGAGACGGAGCGCGGGCAGGGTCAGAGGGAGATGAGAGTCAGCAGAGTCAAGGGGAAGGATCAGGAACCAGGAGACAGGGAGAGGAGCAGAGATAAGCGCAGAGAGCCAGGGGAGGAGAGGATCAGGAGACAGAGGCAAAGGTTGACATCAAGGAGAGGAAGAAAGAGAGGGAGGGAGAGCAGAAGAGAAGAGTCAGGGAGGGAGAGAGCAGTCAAGGTCAAGGAGTCGAGGAGAGGAGCAGAGAGAGCGCAGGAAGTCAGGGGAGAGGTCAGCAAAGTTCAGAGAGGAGAGAGGTCAGAGAGGGAATAGGTCAAGGAAGAGGTCAGAGAGAGACGGAGGAGAAGAGAGAGAGGAGTCAGAGGCAGAAGCAGAAGCAGAGGTCAGTGAGGCAGCAGCAAAGGAGAAGAGAGGGGAGAGAGAGTCACAGGAGAGAGAAGTCAGAGAGGTCAGAAAGGCAGAGATCAGAGAGAGAGAGGGAGCAGCAGCAGAGGAGAGGGGGGTCAAGGGGAGAGAGAGAGAGCAAGAGAAGAGTAAGAGGCAGAGATGAGCAGCAAAGAGACACCAGCACAAGCAAGGAGGAAGGTCAAGAGGAAGAGAGGCAAGGCAGCAGCAAGCAGAGCAAAGTCAGAAGGAGAGAGGGAGAGTCAGAAGAGAGAAGGGAGAGCATAGCGTAGAGAACAGGGGGAGGGAAGGTCAAGGAGTCAGCAGTCAGAGACAGAGAGAGAAGGAAGCAGAGAGCAGAAGAGCAGAGATAAGAGCAGGCAGAGGGTCAGGAGAGAGCAATGGAGAGCAGGCAGGGAGTCAGAGGGGGGAGAAGGCAGTCCAAAGCAGGCATAGCAGTCAGAGCAGAAGATCAGGCAAAAGGAAGAGAGGAGAGGGGCAAGGAAGGAGGCAGAGGAGAGTCAAGGAGTCAGCCCAGTCAGAGGCAGTCAAAGGGAGAGCAAGCAAGAGAGGAAGCAGAAGAGGGCAGAGACATCAGCATGGAGAGCAGAGAGCACATGAGAGAGGAGAGTAAGCAGTCAGAGAGCAGAGGAAAGAGTCAGAGGAATCAGTCAGCTAGCAGAAGAGAAGCAGACATCAGACAGAGCAACAGGATAGAGAGAGAAGCAGAGAGAAGACGGCAGTCAGTATCAGGCCGGGCAGAGGGAGGGGAGATCAGGAGCAAGAGAGAGGCAGAGTCACAGAGGCAGATTCAAGAGAGTCAGAAGAAAAGGAGAGGAGCAGGGGAGGGAAGAGGCAGATGGTCAGGTCAGAAGGGGAGACGAGGCGATGGCAGTCAGCAGTCAGGGGAGAACAGGGAGGAGGAGCAGAAGCAAGGTCAGTCAGAAGAGCACAAGAGTCAGGGTCAGCAAAGAGAGTCAGGGAGTCAGAGCCAGAGAGGGTCAGAAGCCAGGAAGAGGCAAGAGAAGGAGAGGGCAAGAGGGGAGGCAGAGAGGGGGAAAAAAGGCAGAGGTCAGAGAGAGAGGAAGGGGTTCAGAGGGGAGTCAAGAGAGAGGCAGAAGAGGAGGGTCAGAGAGCAGGCCAGGCAGACAGAGAGAAGAGAAGAAGAGGGGTGGAAAGGGAAGCCGAGCAGAGAAGGGGGAGGTCAGCAAGTCAGAAAAGTCAGAAAGCAGGCAAGGCAGAGGAGCGAGAAGGAGGAGAAGCCAGGAGAAGGGGGAGCAGCAGGGAGGAGCAGAAAGAGGCAGGAGAAGCACAGGGAAGAGAGAGGAGCAGAGGAGAGAGACAGCGAGTAGTCAGTCAAGAGACAGATCAGGGAGGGTCAGAGTCAGCAAGGGAGGGTCAAGAAGGCAGCAGGCAGAGCAGGGAACAGGGAGGGTCGTCAGAGGGAGAGGCAGAGGAGGAAGAGGGGGCAGAGTCAGGCCAAAAAAGGGAGCAAAGAGAGGGAGGAGGAGGAGCAGAAGGCAGGCAGGGAGAGGCAGAGGAAGAGCAGGCAGGATCAGAAGGGAGCGGATGCAGGAGTCAGATTCAAGGCAAGGTCAGCAAGAAGAGTCAGAGAGGCAGGGGAGGTCAGAGAGTTCAGGGAGCAGTCAAGCAGAGAGCAGGGATGGCAGAGTCAAACGAGAAGAAGATCAGGAGCAGGAGCAGGAGAAGAGAAGGAGAAACAAGGCAGAGAGAGGGGAGGAAGATGGGGGAAAGGCAGAGAGACCGGAGTCAAGGAGCAGCAGAGGGGAGAGGGAGGGCCAGGAAGAGCAAGGACTCAGAAGAGCAGTCCGACAGATCAAAGAAGGGAGGTCAGCAAGTCAGAGCAGAGGCAGCAGAGAGAGTCAGTCAGGAACAGAGGAGAAGAGGGAAACACAGAGCAAAGCAGAGAGAAGCAGGCAGCAGGTCAAGAGAATCAGGGTCAGTTCAGGAGAGAGAAGGGAGTCAAGCATAATGAGGAGAGAGAGACAGAGATGCAGCAGGAGCAGGAGCAAGGAGCAGAAGAAACAGCAGACAGAGAGAAGAGAGCAGCAGGTAGCGAGAGTCAGAGGAATAAGATCACAGGGTCAGAGAAGGAGGCAAGCAGCAGGAGCGAAGAAGGAGAGAGCAAGGAGGAGAAGAGTCAAAGAGTCCATAAGAGAGGTCAGCAGGACAAGAGAGATCAGAAGCAGAAGAAGACTGGTCAGAGGGGGCCCCCAGTCTTAGGCGAGAGAGAAGCAGTCAGAGCGGGAAGCAAGATCAGAGTCAGGAAAGCAGCCAGAGCAGCCAAGTCAGAAGCAGTGGTCTCAGATAGCAGGCAGAGAAGAAGCAGGAATGGCAGCAAGCAAGCAGAGAGCAGAGAAGGCAGAGAGGAGAGAGAGAGCCAGAGGAGAAGGCCAAGAAGGAGTGAGGCAGAGAGCAGAAGGGGAGATGAGAACGAAGTCAGAGAGTTCAGCAAGAGGGTCAAGAGTCAGAGAGAGAGGTCAGAGGGGGGAGGGAGCAGGGAGGGCAGGAGAGCAGAGAGAGAGCAGAGGCAGGCAGCAGAGTCAGCAGCGAAGAAAGGCAGCAGGGCAGGTCGAAAGAAGCCATGAGTCAGGAAGTCAGAGGAGCAGAGGGGGAAGGGAGAGAGGAGCAGTCAGGGCAAGTCAGAGCAGAGGTCAGGCAGAGAGAAGGACAGGAGACAGTCCAGAACAGTCAGGACAGGAGGAGTTCAAGCAGTCAGCAGAGTCAAGGAGAGAGAGAGAGCAAGGGGGAAGGAGGAGAGAGAGGCAGGGAGGAGAGAGGAGCAGCAGAGAGAGAGCAGCAGGATGAAAGAGGCAGAGCAAGGAAGGAAGAGAGCATGACACAGAGAGGTCAGGAGGAAGAGAAGCAGTTCAGGAGAAGAGATGGGAAGCAGAGAGACAAGATAGAGACAGTCAGAGGACAGTCAAGGTCAGAGAAGATCAGAAGGTCAGAGAGCGAGCAGAGAGAGCAGGCAGACAGAGAGTCCAGAGAGTCAGAGAGAGTGAGAGAAAGAGCAGAGGAGGCAGAGGAGAAGGGAGGAGAGTCCAAGGAAAGAGAAGAGGAGCCAGTCAGAATCAGCGGATCAGAGAGAAGTCAGAGGGGGGAGGGCAGGGGGGGGGGCAGTGAGGCAGAGTAGAAGCAGGAGAAGAGAGTCAGGAGGAGAGAGGGGGAGAGGAGAGTCAGAGCAAGCAGAGGAGGGAGTCAGAGATGCAGCAGCAGCAGCAGAGAGGGAATGTCAGCAGAGGGGCCAGAAAGAGGCAGCGAGAGGAAGTCAAGAGAGTCCAAGGCACAGGAGGAGAGTCAGAGCAGGCAGTCACAGAAGCAGAGTCAGGAGAGCAGAAGAGCAGAGAGGAGAAGTCAGCAAGCCAAGGGGAGAGAGAGAGAAGCAGATCAGCGTCCAGAATAAGAGAGGATTCAGGAGACCAGAGAGCAGATCAAGCCAGAGGAGAGGTAGTGCAGCGACGGCATTCCAGGAGAGAGAGAGAATCAAGGGCAGGTCAGACAGAGGTCAGAAAGCAGGCAAGCAGTCAGAGAAGAGGAGAAGAGAGTCAGCAGAAAAGCAAGAGGAAGTGAGGGCAAGAGGAGTCAGTCAGTCAGAGCCAGCAGAGCAGAGCACAGAGGGCAGGAGGAGAGAGAGAAGCAGCAGCAGATCACAGAGGAGAGAAGAGAAGGACACAGAAGGAGGGAACAGGAGCAAAGATCAGTCAGAGGAGAGGGTCAGAGAGAGAGCAAGTCATGAGAGGAGCAGGGAGAGGAGGGCAGGAAGAGAGAGAGGACAAGAGGAGAGGAAGGCATCGCCAGGCATGGAAGACAGGCAGCAGCAGAGTCACAGTCAAGCAGAGGCAAGAAGAGCAAGGTCAGAAGCAGAAGAAGGGATGGGAGAGAAGGAGAGAAGGAGAGGTCAGAGGGGGAGCCCAGGAGTCATCAACAGGATACGCAAAGAGCAGTCAGGGCAGGGCAGGAAGAAAGAGAGGAGGAGAGAGAGGCCAGGTCAAAAGGTCAAGGTCAGTTCCAGCAAGAGAAGGAGAGGCAAGGTCAAGAGAAGGGGTCAAGTCAGAGCAAAGGCAGCAGGAGGGAAAGGGAGAGATCAGAGACAGAGACCGCACAGGAGAGCAGGCTCAGGGGAGTCAAAGAGTCAGAGAGAGAGAGAGGAGAGGAGGCAGAGGTTCAAGAGCAGAGAGCAGCAGGAGGTCCAGAGGCAAAGGGGAGAGTCAGAGGGAGCAAGTTCAGAGTCAGCAGAGAGCATGGAGCAAGGGAGTCAGTCAGAAAGAGAGCAGGTTCAGGCCGGAAGGAGAGGGGATGGGGCCAGAGAGAAAGCACACGGGCAGAGGGAGGGGGGAGAGGTCAAGCAGAGCAGCAGCCAGAGCAGAGAGAGGTCAGAAAGAGAAGGGAAAAGAGGTCAGGAGGAGGCAGAGAGAGTCAGGAGAGGCCGAAGCAGGAGGCACCAAGGCACAGAAGGAGTCAGAGGAGGGTCAAGGAAGAGGGAGGAGGCGGAAGCAGCAAGTGAAGAGCAGTCAGGTCAGGAAAGAGGAAGTCAAGCAAAAGGAAGGTCCAATCAAGGAAGCAGTCAGTCAGGAGCCAGCAGTCAGGTCAGAAGCGATAGACCCAGAGGAGAGAGAGAGGGAGCAGGGGAGAGCAGGGAGGTCAGAGAGAGCAGGGAGGGAGTCAACAGAGAGAACGAGAAGAAGAAGAG